ATCGTCTTGGCGATTTCTGACATTCCGATCGGTAGCCGCAGTTCCTTTTGTGACTGCTATCTGAGTTTCTGTGTCTACATCGTCAATTCTGGCATCGGATAGGTGACCGAATCGGCTGACCGATTCTCTCGGTAGGTGACGATCGATATACCCTGCCTTTGTCTCAATTACCCTGTCAGCACCATCGGTCACTCGAGCGCACGGATCGGGACACTCATCGGGCGATCATGATATATGCTGATTTATGGAAATGTGCGGTGGCGTAGTATATTAAAATTGGCAGTCATCACAGTGTTTGTATTATTTTGCTCCATAACAATTGATAATTCATCTGCACACTGTTTAAATGCACCACTTTAATACTGCACTACTGGCGCGTCATTAGCATTTCGCTTCTGTGTCTCGCCGAGTTCGTTGGTCCATTTTCCGATATGGATAAGAAGCCTGTGAACGTCTTTTCCAGTTGTTCTACCACAAGTATTTATCGTAGAATACGACGAGTTGAAGATGACATACAGAGAGAAGTGCAAAGAGTTATGTCATTACAAGGTATGTTTTTTTCGCGGAATGTCTTTTCAGCTACACGCGAGATGATAAATACTGCGCCTACCGCACAAGATGTGCATTCTTCGCGCCATGCTGGCAGGAGCCTTTTACGGACGCAGTATCGGCTACTGGTGGAATCTTTCATCACACAAATGAATCGGATGTGCCTTATGCTTCCCCTTTCTTAAATCTACATATGCAACTTTTTGTATATAACGTAATATTTTTAGCCCGTCCAACCAACATTTTGCGTCCAGCGGAATCGGTTACCTTAGAGGAAATTCTGCGTGACGTGGCTCTGAACGGAAGCTTAACATTGACCCAGAATTACCTCCTTTTGCGCAATATTCGGCGTCTATATCCTGACTTACCGATTGATGTTGGACTGTTTCAATTGAGAAATAATTCCCGGGGATGACATCAGAAACAGAAAGTAGCGAACAAGCTTGTTTTCAGGGCTTCATCATCAGGCTAATACAACCACAATAAAGCAAGTTAGAATAGACACGATGGGTTTAAATTGGGTCACTGAAGCAGAGTAACTAATCGATAAGTCTACGTGTTTGGTCTGATTGGTCAAGTGAAGTGGCGTGACTGCCATTGTTAGTCACGTTGATCTGAGGCCAAGGCAAGGTTAAAGTGTGGACGAGCTTTTTCTGTGCACATAGGTCCGGGTTATAGAGCCGAATTGCGATCGCCTCTGCTGTCGACAGCAGGCGACATCTGACTGCCCGTGTGTAACGTCCGGGGACACAGTAGATCGGTGTGAATGCGTCACGCGAATCGATTTGATGATAGGAGTCAACTAGGTGCGACAATACTGCACTCGTTACATTCTTCTTCGCGCCGCTGTAGAGCCGAGTTGGGCAATGCTCTCGAGCCCTAACGGACAGTCGCCTGATCGTTTTCCCAATTTACCTTGCTCGACACGAGCAAGAGAAATTGTACATACAGAAGGAGGTCTGCGATCGAGGTATCCGTTACCTAACGGAGAGAGCGAGGAGAATTTGTACAGGTGATACGCTTTCAGATGAGCTGAGTTTTATACGAAACGTACTAGAGCGAAATGGGTACCCTGAGAAATTCATCCTGAGGCACATGGAATCACGAGTACAAAAGCCCAAACCCATTTCCGCGGAGAAGCGGATGATATACTTATCGTTGCCATTTTAGGGTGACGCGATAGCGGAACGGACACCCGAAGACTTTCCTTAGCAACAGAAAGAACGTATTTTGCCGCTAATCTCCGTGTAACCTACACCTCAACACCAATTGTGTGCCAACAACTTAAAGACAGGATACCTCAGTCGCAGACCTCCTTTTGTGTGTACAACTTCTCTTGCTCGTATCGAGCAAGGTATATTGGGAAAACGACCAGGCGACTGTCCGTTAGGGCTCGAGAGCATTGCCCAGCTTGGCTCTACAGCGGCGCGAAGAAGAATGTAACGAGTGCAGTATTGTCGCACCTAGTTGACTCCTATCATCAAATCGATTCGCGTGACGCATTCACACCGATCTACTGTGTCCCCGGACGTTACACACGGGCAGTCAGATGTCGCCTGCTGTCGACAGCAGAGGCGATCGCAATTCGGCTCTATAACCCGGACCTATGTGCACAGAAAAAGCTCGTCCACACTTTAACCTTGCCTTGGCCTCAGATCAACGTGACTAACAATGGCAGTCACGCCACTTCACTTGACCAATCAGACCAAACACGTAGACTTATCGATTAGTTCTTACCAGTTGACGCTCGGAGCATTTTGAAAACACCCCGTCGATGTCCAGTGCGATTAACCAGAGGTGGCAGTTACATCCATATGGGTTTGCAGGACGCCATACGTGACGTGTTGCGCCGAACGCATTCACCCCGTCCGTCGTTGCTAAAGTTGCAGATCCATATAGACGGAATGACCGTGTTCAAAAGCTCGCGCAAACAGCTGTGACCAATCCTGAGAAGGCTGATAAATCCGCCAAGTGATGTGTTTTTAATTGGTCTTTAAGTGGATTATCGAAACCCATTAATGTGCATGAGTTCCTGCGGCCAGTGGTGGATGAATTGAAGGATGTGTTACGCAAAGGTGTCTGCTTGAATGATAATGACGATGCCATAGATATCGTTCTGGACTGCGTGATTGCCGATGCACTTGCACGAGCATACGTTCGGCAGGTGAAACAACATTCCGGATATTTCGCATGCGAGAAATGCACAACAACTGGTAAGCAAAGCGTAAAGTTTGATAAACATTTGCAGGTTCGCACGTTGATGGTAGGATGACCTTCCCTGCCGATCCCAGAGCTCATTACGTAATGACATGGAGTTTAGAACACGCAAACAACCGGAACATCACATCGGAGAATCGCCTTTCGAGGCCCTACGGATTGATATGATAACTTGTTTCCAACTTGAGTACATGCACACCTTGTGTCTGAGAGTAACACGGAAGTTAATAATGTTGTGGCGCTGCGGCCCAACACGTGACAACATACGATTGCCAGCAATATCCATCGACATCATCAACGAACGACTTCGCATGTGTTCGGCTAACCTGACGTTCGAGTTTCTGCGCAAGTGTCGCACGTTTGAGGACGTGGAACGATGAAATGCAACGGAATTCAGACAGTTTCTTTTATATCTGGGTCCAGTGGTTTTGCGCGAAGTGTTGCCCGAAGACCTGTACAATAATTTCGTTATGTTATCCATCACCGCATACATTCTGTGCTGCCGTAGGTAGTGTTCCCATTACCTTTCGCATGCGAAATCAGTATTGAATAGGGTGGTGCGTGACATCGCGAAGCTGTACGGTGAGGAGGTGGTCTTTAACGTGCCCTGTTTAGTGCATATGTGCCAGGATGTCGGGCGCCTCGGACCGGTGGATAACTTTTCCGCATTTCCCTTCGAATCGTTTCTACGACGGCTTCGAAAGCTCATAAATGGCCCGACGTCGGCGACGTCGCAAATTTTTCGTTGCGTAACGGAGAGAAGATTAACGAATGTCACAGATGATGGCTGTTATTTGGACGACACTGGATCGACCGTAGTTGTGCGTCGTGATCGGCGACAAACCGGTTTCATACATTTCGGTGCGCTGATTACGAATGCACATCCAGATAATGCTGTCATCGCACGTGGAAAACCTTCGGTAGTGCTGGACCAGCGTTCTAATGAATTATGTGTGCAGCATTTCACACAGACAACGTCGCTGTTCGTAAAAAGTTTGCCATCCACAGACCTACGTATTTTTAAATGTTGGGGTTCCTTAGCTTCACTGACATGGATTCCGGTGAGTGCAATCGGCTGTAAATGGCTTAGATTGCCGTGCGCGGAGTACACTGTATTTTGCCCCATCGTTCACAGCTGGTGGCACAAGGATATCAAGAAACATGCGACGTAGGTAAGCTGTCTTAATTTATTATTTGGTTGCTTCAGTTAACAGTCCGTTTTCTACTTCAAATCTGGGCGCGCAAAATCATTGTACACCGTTGCGCGGTTACAGTTACGTTTTCAACACCATGGAATCCACTGGCATACGCTGCCGCACGTGATATGGCAAATAAAAATTTCTCCACCGAACACGTGCACCTCTTCTAATAAGTTTGTGGAAATGCTGTGCTCTGAGTACATCTTTTTTTAGATGTATCGCGTGGTGGAATTTCAAGATTCTTCGGTTGCAGTGGTTCTGTCATCCTGGATGGTTAATAATGAAGAAGTTCTGTGGGGACGGTTATCATCAAAACAGTTGCAGGATTTAAAGGTGGACTTGGAGAATTCGCTGGTGCTTGGGTTGCTACAAGCAACCTCTATTGAGACCTCGGTTCACTTGGGGTGGACCTCGGTCATTCCGATCTTAAAGACCGTAAGTAAAGAAAACATTTTCTTTACTTTCTTGCTTTCTTTCTTTACTTACGGTCTTTAAGATCGGAATGACCGAGGTCCACCCCCAAGTGAACCGAGGTCTCAATAGAGGTTGCTTGTAGCAACCCAAGCACCAGCGAATTCTCCAAGTCCACCTTTGAATTCGTTTCCGCTGGACCAAGCGTTGCTCGCGGATCTCAGTGGCATAGTGCTCATGGTGTCAAACATGAGCCACTAGGCTCTGAGTTCCAACCCAACTCAGGCTATCTCCAACTGATGAGTCCCAACCAGGACGAAACCGCGGTCTTGGGATGCCAGTGTTAAGATGAGCAACACTATAAAAAAGTTGCAGGATTTCCTGATGCATCATCTGCCACCACCTGCGTCGGCTGTGACGTACAAAGTACGAATACACAGTTGTACAGGTGAGGCTACAGAACGATTTATTTGTACGCATTTTTAGATGATTAGCTTGAAGCTAAAAAGTTGGAACAAAGCTTGCTAACATCAGCCGAATTACCATCTAGCGACGCAACGATTCCAATGCTGCGATGGGGAAAGCGAAAGATGTATGTTGTAGCTAGATAGTATATTATCCCAGCACTTTAAAAACCTTTCCTGACTGTGAGTCACCGCCACCCGCAACACGGGGTACTGTTGAAGTCTTGAACTTGGATTTATCACCTCCACCTCCAAAGCTGTATTTAGAGGACGAATTAAGCGACGGTACTGAGAAAGAAAATGAACACCTATTAGTCTATCCCCATACATCCAAGTAAACAATGCATCTGTTTTTACACACTTGGTCCGATTGACCAAGACGTTTCTCAGGGTTTACCTGTTAGCGGAACATCCTGTGACAGCGCACTGCTGTTGGAAATGAATGGTTGGTTCACAGCGTCTCCGTAAAATTCACTTGCAGCCACATTGCGAAACGTAAGTCGCGAAGTGATGAAACTGCGCGAACGAATGACAGCTGTAGAGTTGTCCTTGAACGCGCTGCATGCACTTCAGGCGCCAAGTTCCAGCAACGCGTGCCCATTTCCATTACCAATGGACACAATAGCGCAACTGTCATTTTTAAATAATGCACTGGAGAACGCTGAGTTCATGAACAGCATGGTAAGTCTCATGGAATTTTACTTATCCGTAGGTGCACTATTTATCCAACGTAAGCGGCCGGACTATTTCAGAAAGTGTGCGGAACGTCATGCTTACTTGCATGACTAACAACTTGGTCGGAGAAGTGAACCGGCGTGGAGTGCATGAGAAGTATAAGATAGCAAACACACTATTCGCGCGGGCGGTCCTGGGTATGTTACCTTATAAACAACAATCATGTCCTCAACAGATTCCATTATGAAAAAAACATACCAGGATGCACAGGGCCTGATATCGTTGACAAGTTGCGACGCTGGATACAAAGAATAAAAGAGCGTGAATCCTGGATACGGAAGGAAACAGAACGGTTATCACTGCAAGATTCCGCTTTGTAAATTATGAAATCCATATTACATTATGTTTTCGCGAACTGTGTTGTGTTCATGGCAAACAATGTGTGCGATCGCATTAACGTGCTTTCAGTGGTAGTAGAAGGAAGGATAATGCGCTTAGGCTTTACCCGTTACGGCTGGAAATCGGGGAAATGTGAGCGTGCGAAGGGAGGCGCCACGTTATTTTTCTCCGCGAGCGCCCGATGAGTGACATAATTTTTGCCACTCGGGCGCTCGATCGGTCACCCATCGGACATCCAACGGGCGTTCATCGGACGCTGGTGCTGAGTGGGTGCGTAGCCCGGACGCGATCAGTTGGGTGGCCAGGCTACGACTCACACCAGCAGTCACCCGACAGTGTGGCGCTTCGTCGACCGTGTGATCCGAAATCAAGGTGGATTGAATCAACCCAGAACAGGTTGGTTTTGTCGCGTTCTCTCTACCCCATTAATCTGACTGTTGACACCTGGTTTGCTATGGCCCCACCGAAGTTCAAACGCACTCACTTACCTACGGACAATGTACACTCTGTGCCACGGCCAAACGATTTAAATGTGATGCCGTAAAACTATCGCTAGAGTGTTCTTCCCCGGCCTCTCAGCTCACATCTCAACTTAGCGTCAAAGGCTGCTCCTTGCAATCAGAGCTCGACGAAATGAAGAAAACTTCGGCCTTCCATGAACCCATCAAAGATCACATAGTATCAGTAGATTACATTAGCAACCCATCTGATAAGTTTGACCATGATCACCACAAAAAGGCAGGTCAACTAATTGACTCCATCGCCTCAAAGGTACATGAAAGAAACCATAGAGGAAACAATTTGATCGGTTTAACCATAGCACACAGATTCAGTTTGAACAAAGTAAAGACGAATGTATTTAGCGCTTGTAACATGTCCGATGTCGTCTGTAAATGTCTGCGACTAAAAAAGAAAACACCGAGGCATTGCTGTCCAGTCACTTTTAAATTTGCAAACGAAAAATTGGCAGAATGTTTATTGCACAGCCAACATATCATTACTGCATGTACCCAGTACAAAGAGATTTTGATTAAGCCGGATCGTACGCCTCTGCAACGAGCCCTCCTCAGAATTACATCGAAAGCGCCGGAAAACTGTAACAGCTACGCTGACAAACCGCATGCAAATCCACATGGAAATGGCACACCAAGAGTGGCAACCGCAGTTGCCAAAGTGGATCTCGACAGCTCGTATCTAGGAGCGATGATATCAAATAACTGCCCGACCTTCTATCTCAACGCCTACTATGCGACAACCGAACTTAATAGACACCAGTAGTCGTGACCGCTGCCTCATTGCTCTGACCTCAAACGGTTTAGTGCCTACAGAAAGTGTTAGATGTGACGAACAAGTGACTGTCGGAAACCAAATAAAAACATCGGGGAACAGATACGAAGGTCAAGATGCGTCCCCAGATTTGTGTGCTGTTTTAAACACAAAAATATCATCGACTGGTATTTAAACAAAATACGCAGCTATGAGGAACTCAGTAGCACTCAAATCTGCATGTCAACAACTGCCTTGTCATCGCAGAGCAACGCGTCACTTCGAACCTGTTAGAACTCACAATTATCTTCTGGCTACACCTACCTACCAACCTCCAACAGGCCAGCATACTTATCAGCCTAACGTCTACAACAATTCTTGACAGTGAGGTACTTCGCAGCCAATTTCCAAATCTGATAGTGGTTCACATGCCCGGAAAAGCACTAGATTGCAGTTTCAGCCTGTTAGGCATCGTCAGTAGTGCGGATCCATCAGGATTCGAACCCATGACCATCAGCTGCTTGAACCGCCAGTCAGCAGCTTATGCCACTGGGCCCCGGAGGACAGTTTCGGACCGTCATTATTTACAGAAATAAAAATCGAAAAGACGTTGAAAACCTGACAATACCACCTGTCATACGACATACCTATGTAGCACTTCAGAATCCAACAATCTATCTTAACCCTTTTTTAGCGGAAGCGGGAATGGCTCCGCAATGACACACCCAACAGAGACAGTCTAGCTTGTTACACTTCTCTGGCGGTTCATCCATATGTCACGGTTAGCTCGATATCAGAGAAACCCCAACCTTGCCTCGGGACATCAATCTTTTCCGCCCACCGGGTCTTACTAGCGCGAACAATTCCAACACACCTGAGCATTCCACAGATGGGTTTGTTTTCACCACCCCTTAGTTAACTTCTTTGCCTGTCATTTCTGATTCCCAATCGTTTGAAGCACCCACAGAAAAGGTTTTTGTGCACACTACATTTTCACTTATAATAAGTAACGCAAGATCCTTAAAAAAAGTTACATTGTGTAAGCATGTTTACTCAGTTGGGTACCCCACAACTAATCTTCGTCACCGAAACACGGTGCCTCCTTGATACATTGGATGCTACTTTAGATATTCCGATCTAGTTTGAAAAGATCGTAGCACAAAGAAAGGCGGCAGGTGCATCGTATATCTCCATCGGAACTTCAGAGCGGAGTTCATTGATGACCCACAGTTAAACAATGCCCCAGAATCTCTATAACTATCAGTCGCTGCAGCCTCCTCTACAATAATTCTCGGTTGCATCTACAACCCTCTGAAAGCGACAGCCAAAGATATCGCAATTATCTCGTCGTCTTTTGATTTCGCATCGGTGTTATCACACGGTCTAAAGATAACCGCTGGCGATCTTAATCTACCGAATACTACTTGGTCACCACAAACCTCATCATTGCACAGATCTTTCTTATCGACTATCAGAGTTAGGGGTTAGACTCAGTGGGTTACCAGACCAACTAGCTCGGCCAACATATTGGATTTAATCTTCCCCCTGGCGATTCCTGACACACAAATTGACATCCTAGACAACACACACAAAGAGGGTGCTCCGTTGCGGCCAACTGTTTCACTTCCAGGTACACCCACCTACAACCTGGCGAAAGAATTGTGGAGGCGCCTCAAACATCTACTCAACGGTTCGCAGCACTCCGTAAACAACTCCGAGCAATTTCTAGAGAAGCTCATGAACCTGCATATAGATCATGACGAAACGATGGTCTCTTTCGACGTCACCGCTTTATTTACATCTGCCAATTTGCAACTGGCAAAAGAAGCCATCATAGAACGCCTGAACAACAGAGAGGAGAAAATTGGGAGTATGACGACTGCAAGCATTTGCAAGCTTCTCCAACTATGCCTCACAACTTACTTCTCGTTCAACGGAGAGATCTACGAGCAAGTGAAGGGGGCACCGATGGGATCACCAGTATCAGGTCTGATCGCTGAGATCGTCATGCAAAAGTTGGAAGAAGATCTACTACCAGTTATTAACCCGAAGTTGTGGGTACGCTATGTTGACGATACACTTGTAATACTGAAACGCAGTGAAGTAGCAATCGCACACCAACTGCTCAACAATGCAATGGATGGGATTCAGTTTACAATGGAGTTAGAGGCAGAAAACATGCTCCCATTCTTGGATGTGTTGGTGACCAGAACAAACGATGGTGAATTTCAAACATCCGTTCACAGGAAAGGGACACATACGGATCAAATTTTGAACTTCTATAGCAATCACCCAAAGTGCCACAAAATAAGTTGCGTGCGGACACTATTTCGCAGGATTGAAACACACTGCAGCACAGTGGAAGCCAAACGGGAAGAAGAGAAACACCTATTCGATTCGTTCGAGCGCAATGGCTACCCACGCAGCTTCATCCGCAGATGTCTAACCCATAAACTTATGAACACCGAGCCGATACCAAATGCAAGCAAGAGGGTCGTTTTGCCGTATATGAAGAACATATCTGAAATGACTGCCAGAATGCTCAAACAATACAACATCGTGGTCGCTCATAAGCCAACCGCTACATTGAGAAGAGTACTATCAAACCCAAAGGATATTAGGAATGCACAAGAACGAACAAACGTCGAGTATAAAATAAATTGCAATAATTGTGAAATGAACTATGTGGGGCAGAGAGGAAGGAAATTATCCACAAGAATACAAGAACATTAGAGGGCTTGTAACAAACATTATGCATCGTCTCTTGTCTCAGCGTATGTAGATGAGGAAGGACATAGCTTCAATTGGAACCAAACAGTGATTTTAGCTCAAACAACAACACAGAAAGGAAGAGAGTTCCTAGAAGCATGGTACTCCTCTAATAATTCGATCAACATGCGCATCGACATTGACCCCGTGTACCATCAACTCCGAAAGAAAGATCTCCGGCGAATCGCAAGACCTGGTTCAGCCGTGGAAGCAAATGGGCAGAGA